AGGGGGGGGGTTTACTCATCTGCAGATGAGATGAGGCTGACTGAGGAAGGCCAAAACTGTTGATACATATTTTGTTTGATGGTGTTCCTGTATAACTGTACTGAGATACTGAGTCTCCATATTTCACCCTGAACAACTTTGTCCCTTCTCCTTTGATATCTCTCTCTCTCTCTTTTTTAACACACACATACACTGAGCACATCTGCGAGCTACAGTAGCAGCAGATATTGTACTGACAGCAGATGACAGACGGGGTAATGGGAATAGGGAGAGTGCAAGCAAAACACCGCTTTAGAAGTGCTGAGCCTGGGAGATAACCACATCCACGTTGGAATAGCAACACATATAAAGCTGCTCTCTCTCTCACACACACACACAAACACACACAAACACACACACCCAGCACCTGTCAGTCTGCTTTGGTCACAGCAGTTTACACAATAAACAGGTGGTCCGCTTTGCTCTCGGGCACGAGACAGACATAGGGGCGAGGGGGGTTGTGCACAAGCGTTGCAAAGTGACACAACTGTCTTGTTATGCTTGTGTGTGTTTGTTTACACTTAAATAGTCCAAACAAAGTGAAGTGAGGGAAACTGTAAAGAGTTAAATACTTACAAACTTAAGGCAAACACAACTTGTTTTGGCATTGCTATGCCTCATTCCAGTTGTTATCATACAGCCTGTATTTAACCAAAAAACCAAAAATAATGTCTTCTACTGTTCTGTAGCTGGTAAACAAATAAACCGAACACTCCTAATAATTCATATACAGTCATGGATGTATTCTAGTTCGTGGTATAAAACTCAATAATCAGACGCATGCTGTTAGAGACTGTATTCATAACGCACACATCAAACTTGAATCTGCATTTATGAGTTGTTACGTCATCGTTGTCTAGCACTGTATCACAGTTTAGCAATATAACCCATTTTAACATGAGAACATTGTAGAACCAGTGTCATTGTGATAGATTACATTAATTCTGTAATTGAATATCTTATAGAAATGAAGGGAACTTAGAAGCATGGTGTGCAAATGTTTAGTGTTTTTGTCTTTTCAGTCCTTGTATTTTGG